TCACGGGTCACCGGTCACGGCCGGGGTAGCCAGGCTGGGCAAATGTGCGCTGCCATCCCCCCTTTAGAGGTGTTTGGATAAACACCCTGTCCAGGGAAACATCCAGCCATACCCCTCGCATGGGTCAGCTTAAAACAACGGTGAAATAGCAACCCCGGGGCCTTCTGTCCTTTTCACTCCATAACTTAATGATTAAGCACAACTTTGCTATGTTGGGTATCAGTTTGGGCACCAACACGGTACAAGTGGTACACGCTGGCTTTCAGGCCTCGGTGCCAGACTCAAGGGTTTCTCTGATGTAGCTGAGCAAAGAAAATCAGGAATATTGTCACGTACTCACTTTGCATCTGTTTATGCCAAACTGTCCCACAACCAATACATACACAAAAGCAGTAACTCCTGCTACAGAGGTCAGTGCCTCTGTAGAATTCTGTATTCCTGAATGAAACCAGCTCTTCTGACTCATGTTTGCCTTTTATTTCCTTTCTTTTTTTTTTTTTTTCTTTTTTTTTTTTGCATGAGTAAAATTCTGACCAGTTGTTGTTTTTCCTTCCTGCCTTTCCTTTCCTCCCAGGAAACAGTCAACAGCAAGTTATTACCCAGAATGATTACGTGATTCCCAGCTCCATGCCTTGGAGACAGGTCTCGAGCCAATAACGGTCGCTGTGACACAAGCATGCGTGCGAGGGGAAGAGGGAGGGCGGCACAGGAACTGCATCCCCCCCCCCAGATACACTGAGTCAAGCGTGACTAAGGCTGGTGACTTCATTTCTTAAAATAAGGGAACGAAGGTAGTCATGGGCAATGGCAGCAAGAGATCCATTGTGATCCAGACCCCTCTAAAGATGTGGGCCGTGATCCTTTGTTTCTGCTCCTAATAAAAATTGAGCATGGGGAGCTTCCTTTCCTGAAATACTTGTTGCTTGGGAAGAAAAGGGCACCTGGCACACTTGAAACAGAGCAGGACATATAACCGTATAAAGCAGCATGAAGACAGCTCAGATAAACCCACTTAGGTCTTCTAACTTTCTCAGGTCCAAAAACCTTTGCAAATCTGTCTCTAAGAAAGCTGAATTTCTGGAGCAGGCGAGCAGAGTGCTGCTTTCACTATGATAAAGTAGCTGGCAAAGCGCGCCGGGTTCTGTACCCATCTGCTGCCACCCAGTCTACTTGAACCCAGTATTTTAAGAGGAGACAAGCATTTACAGTCATTTAACTAATTCTCACAACCTCCTGTGACACTGGCAAAGAGACGTCACAGAAAACTTGAGACACACAGAGACGATGTCTTAGCTAAAGCCATAGCGCAGTTCTACGCTCAAGCTGGGAGTGAAGTTCCAAATCCTGCCTCCAACCCCAGCCTCCGTTTTCCTTTGTCCAAATAAACCTGGTCTGTAAGGCTCTCTTTCCGCCTTCATCTTTCCTTCCTGACTTGGAAAATCCGTATCTCCCCCAGAGCACCCATTCTTCTCCCACCCCCCTAAAAACGACGCGCACCAAAATGTGACCTTGTTGATTAACAGTCCGGCCAGCTGCACGCTCAGGAAGTGGAAGTGCGGAGACAAAAGCCGCCTGAGACAAGAAAACAGAAATAGATAAAATCCCCCCCAGCGACGTTGACGCGCAGAGATCAGAAAGGCAGAGGATGAAAGGGCAGGAAATGGGTTTCCAATTGCAGGGTAGCAGGTACCAAAGGCAACAAAATGCTTGGAAAGGAAAGAGTTTACCATTGAGCTACACTGGGATCATGGAATGTCAAGCCCATGCGTTTTACAGCAGCCACGTGACTTTAGCACTACCAAGCTGTCCAGCTCTGGGCAAGCACTCAGTAATGGCCTAGGAGGCCACAATGTGTGTAGGAGGATTTTGCCCTTTTTACAGAAGAATCCTGCAAAATCAAGTGGTTTGGCCCAAGTCACTCAAAAACCCCACCTAATGTAGAATTTGACAGTGTCCTGTCAAACCCTTTGCTCTCTGTTCTAGCTCCACCGCTGTCTGTCACGTCTAAACGCTGATCTAATAGAGGCCCAGCTGCCTTTGACCAAGGATTCTGAGGAAACGTAGTTCTTAATTTCTTGTAAACAGGAATCTCAACAGGCAAACTCAAAGACTAAATAGGTTATGGATGATGACTTACCCCTACAGATGTCAGTCCAGAGCAAAAGCAGTTCATGAGGGCAGGCAACAACATCAGCAGCTGACCCTAAACCGGCCCTGATCTGGGAGAAGAAATGCGAACCACAGAAGTTCTGGTTTACCAGCCTGGAAGCAAACAAAATCATTACCATCTTTCTTCCGAAGGTGCAAATGACTACCGCTGCCAGCTGCGTTCAGGTGTCACCCACGTGCTGTGCCTGCTGTGACAGACACAGGTCAGCCTCAGTCAGGTACATCCCTAGGGCTTGTTGGCACGTGAGAGCATCTGGCAGAGGGGAGCCAAAAGGTCCTCGCTTCCTGCGTTCCACGAGGCCAGCGGTTCCTGTGTCAGCAGCTGCTGACCCAGCGATAGCAGGGACCCCTGCCATGGAGGGGCTGAGGACATGCCTCACATTTCTGCTCTGTTCCAGATACAAGCTGGGAATTCATTTATATTCAGAAATTAGGCCGCAGAAAGGACGAACACCACAAGCCTGCTGGACTGATCAGAGCAAATGCTCATATTAAAAAAAAAAGTATAAATGAAAATAACTTAACTCCCCCCTACTCCACAAAGATCCTCTCACTTCCCAAAATCCCAAAGAGGACATTGGATTAACCTTTTCTGGTGTCTATATACAGCTAGGCACTACTGTAGTAACAGCGTTTAAAAATCCAAGTGGACTTGGAAGGATAAAAGTGCTTCAGGTCAAAGCGTAATTATTCTTCCTGAGTACTTACACAGCTTGTGTAAGGCTGAACTCAGACCTGTACTGAAGCTAGACTAAAATCAGTAGGCGAGCTAGTAAATTTAAAGGTAGTTTAGATAGGCACATGCCAGATGTGGTGGCCACAGTACAGCCAAAATAGCTAGAATCTAGAAAAAAAATTTCATGTTTTCTCCTATGGGCTTTCTGGAGGAGTTCACATCCCTTACTCTGGCCATCGGACCAGTCTGTGATGGCAATCCACTGTTGCCTTTCTCTAATCATCTTCATCATACAGAAAACATGGAATAACCTGTTGTAGCTGTGATAACTGGACAGAGAGCATGCAGAGAGCCTCAGCACTGACACGCAGTCAGCACAGTCACCGAGCAGAGGATTACTGCCATGAACCAGAAGGAGCTTTTTTGGTGACTCAGTTAAATAACTGAACTGCAGCCAGGCCCCTCCACATGGTTGCCTTTCTAGTGCAAGATCAGGCATGGTGTTCAAGTGATCCAAGTATTTACAGGGCTACAATAAAAAAATTGATTTAAAATATAAATGAGAAGATGTGTGGAAAGCCCCCTGGGATATGCTACATGACTTGCATGTTGCTTCTCATACCCCACTGCCCAGGCCTTGACCAACTCCTAGGTAAATCCATCAGTGACAAAGAGCATTTACCCTTTGTCCCCTACCCCCTGCATTAACCACC